TTTACAAAAAAATTTACAAATTAATGTGAAAAGAAAAATAAATAGCCTGGAGCTAATTTGGAATTTTCTTATAAAACTTTAAATTTTTAAATTTAAGGACGATCTGAAGTGAAATCAGCAGTAATCTTGTATATACCGATAAAAAAACATACATTTTACCTACCTCTGGCAATGTACATATGTACATACATATATACATATGTACATAGATCTCTCTTTTATTTTTCTTTCACGGCGGTAGATTTTGAAGTCCAAGCTGACTTTTCACACATCCCAAAAGGTGCTCAAAAGTTGCATGACAAGTTATAATTAAATACAAATTGCTGAAATATGCGCTGAAAATAAAATAGAAATATTACAAACTAGCGGATCTATTAATAGTTGAGGTCTTTAGTACAATTAGTCTCACATTACAAAAAATTTTAATGTTTTCTTTGAAACTAAAAAAACAAAATCCCCGTTTGTAATAGTTATTACAATACTATACCCACACATACATATATACATACATACATACATACATATACATATAACACTAAATTGTATAATATGGCACACATAACTGTTTCAGTTTTCAATTATGCATTCATTTTTTATTGTTTCGAAATTTATATTTTTTTGTGTCGTTTATACGACTGTTTGCTCGGCACGCGGACTCATTTGCATATTGCTATATTTACATAATTGATTAGAAACGGAAAAAAGCGATGATCTTTGTCTTATTTTATTTCCACCCAAAACAAGTGATTACTGTACTTCGAAACGGGTCTCTTCATTAGCATTTATTAAATGTTTTGGCAAAAAACTAATTTATGGGCTTCATAAATTATGCGATTTTTTTTAATAAAACTTTTTTAATAAAAATGTTTGCTAATTCTTTATATTTGGCAGATTTTTKAAATTTTAGGCAAAATGCGTTTCAGCTCGGCGGTGTGGTTGTTACCCCTCCTTTTCGCTTTAACTGTGGCACAATTTTCGAGTTTATTCAACGCTCCGAAGAATATAGGAAGCGGTTTTAGCAACTTCTTGARCGACCTGAATTCTTCAACTCATGATGACTTCTTGGTAAATACTTAATATTATTTATTATTTTGTTTCTCTATTATAAAAAATGTATGAAATAAACATAAATAATATTAATATA